TTTGCAACACCGTCGCGATACTGTCCATATTCCGTATCAAACCAATGCGGTTTGACATGTCCGATTTGTGAAAACTTAAGAGGAAGGAATCGAGTACACAGCGAGTTAAGATTCTCCTTCATTAATGATCAATAAGCGTCAAGCGACGCATCCTGGTATCGGCCAATCAGTCTGGCTTGCGGCTTGGACGAGCCCGTTGAAGTCCGTCTTCCAATAGTTGAATGTCGGCTTCCGTTGATTGTAATATGGTAGGGACAGTTCTAAGCTTGCCACAATAGAGCAGTGGTCACAGTTCGCCAGAGGTTCGATGACTCTGATCTCGTTCAGCTTCTGCTCGCAGCTCATAAACCTTAGGTCCAGACAAGATGCCGAGTGCGGAGTTACGCGCGTCGGTTGGATGACATGTTGCGTTGCCCCAATTTCAATAGTCATTTTAGCGAATTGTGCCTCAACGTTGCCATGACCGGGAAGAAGTCGAACGTCTGGCCAAAATATCTATGGTAAATTTAGATCCCCCATCAGTAAGAACTGGGGGCGGCTCATGTGCTTCTGTACATGTGGTAGCCAATCGCAACAACAGTTTTATGGGCTGCGGTAAATAACACGCACTATTAGTTCTGCGTGTCTGAGACGGATTGTGCACCACAATTGCTCGCATAAACTATCCTCGCTCCGACAGGTGCTAGTAAGTTAGCTAAATAGTGAGGATTTTATGTGCAACAGAACATCACCGTGAGCCTTGTACTTTCGGTCGCATCAGAAACAAGAGTATCCTGACAACACGACTTCTTGGGATATGCCGTCGGAGTTCAGCCAAGTCGCTGCAAGTTCTAAAACGTCCGGTCGCTCCGAGACAGCGAAGGGGCACAGTTCGTCACGTTTGTTCATTAGGCTGCACATGTTGGCAAATGTCACACGGAGGTCCTGGGAGGTATTGCAGGACGTGCCTGGAGATTGAGCAACCGCTTGATACCGGTTCGTATACCCTTCTTGATCACCCGAAAATTTACAATTTGTAAGTCAGTCTCACCTTCCTCTGTACGGTATTTGAGCTCAATGACCGCAGTCTTCGAAAGATCCCTGTCTTCGGTTTCCAAGTCGCGGCGAATGTGCACTTTTATGCCTTTCAGTCTTGACAGAGGAGACAGCATGACCTGAGACAAATTGTGATTTGCAAAGGTGATTCTCAGCGGTCAACATGACTGGTTAGTTTTCTGGCCAAATCTGATTACTTGTTTAATTGTCACACTGTCTTCGCAAACATCCAAGAGTCTATCGATAAGCCCCTGGAGGAACTCAACCTCGTGATCATAACGTATCTGAGGGTTTTCATCTTTTGACTCTGGTACGTGAAAGATCATGAGATTATGACGCCTCAGCGAAATCAGTGATGAACCTGTGAGAGCAAAACTAGAGGTGCTTAACTGATTGGGTTGTTGTTTATCATCAGGGGACGTCTGAACTCGATTACGCTGCCCCTTGCGCTTTTGAGTGGTCAATGGATCCTCGATGTTCAGAAGTTCAAGGAGAAATTCAGGGACCGATCAGCGAGGCAGCATTTTGTAGGTTCCGAGTCTGTCTTTCATCGGTGGGGAACATTGAACCTGAGGCTCTGCCGAAACACGTCAACGGATACGCCAATGCACGAAATATGGAACAAAACATCGCAGCCGAAGAACCGAAGTGCATGAGCCTTATTTCCCACAACTTTCGAACACGAACCACAAGTAGCTTGAGACGGCATCACAACCCAGAGCAAATCCAAGATGGCGGACAGAGATGGCAGTAGGGTAAATCAATGAGATCTCCTTAATTAGCAAAAGAATGGCCAGCAAAGTTACATCAGTTGGAAAATACGCTAAAAGAAGAATATTGGTGTATAATTTGTTGTGTTGCCGCTGACGCCTTCGCCCCACGACCGCAAGAAGAAGTCCAAAGACGAGCCAGAAAGAGACATGTATACATGAAATCACAGTTGCTTATATAGTTTTGAAGCCAAACTGAAGGGAAGCTACTAAATTACACTTGAGTTAACCAACAGAAAGAAAAACGTCAGATGCAACGAGCGAATAAGCAAACGTGTACTCAAGAGCGAATCGCATATGTCCTTAAAAATAGCGTCATGGGACCCCAAGCGTAAAGGGAACATCCATTTACAGTGCCGGGCACTGGCCAATCAGAATAACGAAATGAAGCGTTTGAACAAATGTCACGAAACAAACGAAAACAAAAAATGCAGACCTAAAATTTAAAAGCTAGCACAATAATCGTGTGACAACTAAATATTCCTTTAACATAACCAAATAGAACAGTGAAAAGAAGAAAAAACCAATGGAATGTGTTCTTGCAAATGGCACTGCTGAAAAGGACATGACCATGGGCGTCCATTAACAATGACGTGGGTGTACCAATCGGGCTAACCCAGTAGAGCGTTTAAACAACAGTCAAGGAGAAAATAGGAAGAGTAGAGAATAGCTATTAAGCTCGTTCACAAAACATGAATGTATAATAGCTGGTTTCCTAATACAATTCACACAGAAAGATCTGATAACACAGTAATCTGAAGCAAAAGTAGTACCCAGCACACGGTAATCCAAAAATCTGCGATGTTCATGTTGTACTTAATTATTCATGACTTACGTGGAATATGCTATTCAGGTGTGGCAGCCGTGGCAGAAACAGGATCTCGTTGCTCTCGAGACTCCTCAACGAAGGGCAACCAAGAATGTCAGGGGTCTCTTTCATCTGCCCTATCAGCTTAGACTGAAATCTCTAAGAATCTACAGCAGTCGATATCGGCTTTTGCGGGGGGATCTCATAATGGTTTACCAGATTCTGAAGAACCCAAACCACATTTTTCGTCTGCTGCTGGAATTGAACCACAACACTAAACTAAGAGGTCACCCTCTGAAACTGACAATTCAGAATAGCCGGCTTGAATGCCGTAGAAATTTCTTTTCTCTCCGCGTGTGCCAGCCTTGGGACGCCCTCCCTAATTATGTCGTCTCTGCTCCCAATCTGGCGATATTTAAAAAACGTGTTGACGATGCATTGTCTCACTTACATTTCATTTTATGACTTGTTAGCCAAGGTCTACAAAACGCAATCAAACGGTGTCTTGCCAAACGCCTAACCAATGGATTTATGGATTTATATGTTTAATACGCGAACATCTCTGCTATTCCACATAAGTCCATGGTGAGTCCTCCACAACGCTTTTCACTTTATCATGCAATTGATTTTCACAATAATTTCCATCCTACGGGACTTGTTAAGCAACGCTTTTTTACCCGAAATAAACCATTGTTCCAGTGTTCATGTTTGCTGCTCTTTACTGGGACTCAGCAGTAATACCAACCTGGGAGGTCACTCACTAAAACTGAGAGAACAGTACAGCCGCCTGGATTGCCGCAGGAACTTTTTTTCCGTCCGCGTGTCACCCGTGGAATCGGTCATTTCTGCACCATCACTATCCATATTTAGAAGACGTTTGGATGACTCACTTACTCATCTACACCTTGTTACCTATTACTACATCTCCATCCCACTGCTGGAAGGTACTTTGGATTTATTTGCTGTTACATGTTTGTGTTGTGACACTACACGGTCGCAGGACTGCAGCGAAACAAACGATAAGTCCCTCTTTTAAACGTAAATAACCCACTGCATTTTTATTTTTCGATAGCCCTGCAAAACCACCCAACGGGACAAGTAAAGCATTGCATTATAATTCGTATAAATGCACAGTTCATCGTTCATTCGGAAGGGTGAAGAATGTAAGCGTGCTTTGAAGCATAATAGTCATGTTCACTAGCACCAGTGAGCAAGAGCTGCTTACCCTACAGCCAAACAATGTGGAAAATAGACCATATTCACAAAAGGGAAGCGACCATGTCCCTAATTTCATTTCATTCACTCCTGAGACAGTTGCTGTCAACTTCTGCGCAACCTCAACAGGTCTGTAGCCATGGTACAACATTGTGACGCGGCTTGACAGTTGCTTCACATACATATTGCTAGCTTTCGACTTATCTTTATTAGCTCCCCATTGGATCGCATCAGCCTAACACAGCGCAAAAGGCAAAGAGTGCCCACTTGTTTTAGTTCGCCTCCGACTGACAGTAAATTGTAGCAGAAAATGCTCACAGCGTCATGGGCTCGTTTGCAAATCAAACAAGTTGAAAGTTAGGGAATTCAAATGGTACAACTGGACAATATTTATTGCAACTAGACCCGGGCAGATTAGTCTAAACTCGACCAAACGCTGGACAGCATGTTCGTATTTTCGGAACCCGTGCACCGTATGCACCTCAGGTGACTCGTGAGGAGTCGCTGAAAGTGAGCTACACTACACTACAACTAGTCACGTAATTGTGCATGCCACTGCTGCTCACCACACTTCAGTGGTCTGTAATCCTTGGCTCGTAAGAGTAGGACAGCCGATTCAAGCCCCTCAGGGCGCAGACGGAAAACAGTGTCGACCAGTCTCGAGAAAACACGTGAGCGCACGATGTCGATATGGGAACCAAGGCATCCATCTTTAATTAAAACACCAACACGCTCGCACATAGACAGAAGCATTGTCCCGTGCCCCACGAAGACGTACAGAGGATGTGTTTCCGTGACCTATCAGGCATTATAGCAAAGTAGGTCCTTGTAGAGATGCTGTGCATAGGGGCTGCTGTAGTGAGTTGTCCTAGTCATCAGTCCCGTAGCACAGTAGATCACATCTGTGCTGTTTCTACGATTTGAACAGCAGTGGTGCGACACTCAATCGCCTGGGACTGTAAGCGTCAAAACAGCTGTCTATTGCTTAGCTGTTAAAATACCATAAAAAAAGTCACGGAAGGACAGACGGCAAAAGCGCACAAAGAGACTACTTAACACACAACGTGCTTCTGCCCATGCAATGGATCCAGTGAAAGAAGATTGGTGCGTGTTACCATGCTCTCTGACCCACTTGCTTGGAATGCCCAAAAATTAAAAGTGAACGTACTCACTCTAATTGGGTGTTCGCTCGGTCAATTAATTTTCGGAGCATTTCCTGTGCTCCAAGGACGGCATCAACCTCCTGGAAACAAGACAGACGAAAGCAAGCCATGCATGACTTTGAGCCAAAATTACAAATTATACCGGCTACTTGCCGGTTCGATCAAGTTGATAGGATGGCAAGAGCTGGGGAAGTATCAGTCCACTGAAAATGACCAAGTAACTTGTATAGGTGCTGTGGGACACAAAGAAACTCACAGAAAGACCGAATCAGGTTGATAGGCACGGTTTGGTTGAATAAGAACCTCGGGGTTGGCGGCACGGATACTACCACCTGGCCAGTGGCGTCCCTCCGTTTGTTCACTCGTAACTAACGCTTAAGCTATGTAGCAAACAATATCAAGCTTCGGTTAACTCAATTGAACAATCATTTGTTAATATCATTATTAGCAGTAATATTAGTGGTAAGAGTGCTTGCGATGTTGTTTATTAGCGACTTAATTCGTGGCAACTATGTTCATATAACCACGATGCACGGTTCAGAACAAATCAGCGGGAGCCTTGTTAATGCAAGAGCGCAAATCTCCGAGAAATACGTAACAAGGCAGTCTGTCAAATTAGCAGTAGGTCGATCAGGTGGGATTTTGCGTCACGTATTCATTATACCCAATAATTCTGCCTGTCTTACTGTATGATAACGGTTGATTCAGAATTATCGGTAATGGCTCCGTTGTTTATCTCAAGCTGGAGGCCAAGCAAATTCATTGAGAGTTGGCTGTCTAAGGAGAGCGCAATACTGCACCGAACATCTGAAGACAGTAAACACCTGGGGTTGAAATTATGTCTAACTTCACCCTAAGGAACCTCAGGTCAATGCTGTGCTCAACCCTTTAGAATACAGACCCCCATGGTGGCCTTGGAGCTCAACTGTGAGTTAGTCTCTACTCACCATGAAATGGTTTTACCTTCCGTTAAGCCGCACATCTTAGCAACGTTCTTAAATTAAGAGGTCGTTAATGGTCGCTGATTTCGATTAGTGGTGTGATGTATGTTCCTGAAACAATTGCACAGTGGACTCACTTGAATCTCGCCGATACTGTGTGCTATGTACGAAGTGTTTCTGCGTATCTTTCTGAGCACCGCGGTCCACCGAATAAAAAACGATGATTCAACGGTACCTGGAAAGATGAACTTTCCCGCATCGTCTCATGTAAGTTCGTCTCCACGTTTGCTTACGCCCTTACAATTGCGATAAAGGCGCAAGTGCGCAAAGGAACATGTATGAATATATACAGAAAAGGATTTTGAGAAAAGCTGGTGAAGATACGTCGCAATTGAAATGCACTTCGATTTTTTCCACAGCCTGTGATTTTACATCTTACTAATGACAGATATGGGGTAAAAACCAGACATCATTTTGATGATTCGAATGCTACACGACATCTCTCATTGCAGATGGGAAAATAATGAACCACCTACGTTTATTATATCAATCCGCGGCCTCAACAATGAACTTGAGTGCTACGATAGACAGTGATTGATACCCCGCATGCATATGGAGCATATATGCGGCAGTATCGAAAATGTTCGCCAAAGCTAAAGCTTGGAGCGAAACACATTTATTCAACATGGCATGCACCGGTGGATTTATCATGCATGTGGTTCCAATCAAAAAGTATACATGAGGATGTATCCCCTGACTGGTCTTCGTTACTCATTGAGTCACCAGACTATATCATTTACAACACGAGTACTTCCGACCACCGTAGTACCTCATCGCCGAGGTTGCACATCGACATGCGTAAATGATGGGACACCGGTTTGACGTTCAACTGAGTCAGTAATAGGAAGGAACCTAACCAAATGGATCTATAGTTTGTTCTATCCGGTCCGTAGGCCAAACGGTAGGAAGAACACGGGTGAAGGGAACACGGTTAAGCCGGACTCTGATGAGACATAGTGTGTCCGTGAGCACATAGGTCAATCACTATCGAACCAGAATGTCGGCAGTCAGGAAGTTGCGCTAACGGTAAGCTTGCGGCGCACATTGTTACGACATCTACTTAGTTTGTTTCCAAGTCAAGGACTTGTGGTAAGTGCAAAATTCCTGCTCTGCACACAGATTACGGGTTATCGCAAGTGGCACAAGACGCGTCCAACCTTCTTGAACAACAATCTAGCCACATATTCCAAAATCTGCATTTAGCTTCGTCTAAGCCGATCATACTGCACTTAGGCATTAACCACATATCCGTTATAACTACAAATGTAATGAGGCGGCTAGTACATCTGTTATGCAGCAGACCGCGTTAACACGGAAGCCTTGAAAGTGGCTGCCAGAAGCTTAGCTGAACCGATAGCAATATTGTTTCAACAATGTCCTAACGAGATGCAGGTTTCCACAAGGCGGAAGCAAGCGCCATTAGTCCAATCTGCAAAAATGGTAGTGGTGTAGAACCGGCGAAGTATCGACTGATAACACGACTTCCGGTGACCTCCAAAATCATAGATTCCATGGTCACTGAAGCACTCACGGGTATCTGGAGATTAACAAAATGCTGGTTCCGGAGCCGCACAAATTTCGCCAACATAAGTACTGTAATACTAACCGTTGATAGCTGGTGCATACTGGATGTGGATATTTGTGTATGACAAAAAGTCATTTAGCTGGATTTTTCGAGGTAATTCGACCTTCTGGATCACCGCATTCTACTTTAAAAACTTTAGAATTATAGAATCGGTACTCTGTTTGGGCTGCATAGGCAACATTCTCGTTCAGTACGTTTTAACTTGAGAGTTTGCTGCACGTTATAAATCCCTTAGATTGGTCCCCTATCCTCAAGCATACCCATCTTAAAAGCCAGCGGTAATGGTGACGCCGCTAGCGTACGTGGGGTCGCGTTGACTCCTGGGTACCAAGAGGTTGCTGCTTACAATATTCCACACTTGTTCGTGCATTGGATTGTACAATTGGGTGTAGTGATCAACAATTATCCCTGGAGTTCATGTACTCTACAACCCTTCCTCGCTTTGGAATGCAGTTTGGAAATTCGGGGTTCAAGACCCAACAACTTTTGTTGCAAGTGTCCACACGTTGGCTCGTCCGTGTAAGCTGAATAATCCCGGCAAGTCACTGACTAGAGATTAACATGTTGATGTTGATGCTACATGTTCTGTTTCATATATTAGGCACAAAAATGAGTGTAGCTATATTTCCCGCTGTACATCGCTCATACTGAAGTTAGGATAAACCAGCTATTATTAAGGTGCGGAAGAGCGAACGTTCATGCTACCATTTAACTTAGAAATGGTCAATCATCTAGATTGACTTACAAGTAGGTTAGTCCAACTGTGGTGGTACGGTAGTGTTTGAGTAAACAATTAATTGGAAAATAAATCCAGCACAGAAAATATTGATTTGTTGCGAAGAATAACTGCAACCGAGATGTATGATGACAGCTTTTTAGTACATTGTACGCGGTAAAATTACGATGAGAAATCCAGGTTGCATGGGAATATCATACGTCCAGCTAAGCACCTTATCTGCGCCATCTGCCGAGGCTCTTGATCCCCTTTATTTGTCTACCCTCATGATTAACTATGCAATGCACAATGTTTTCATTGCAAATCACACCATGGGTATGGAGATGTACTCGTTCATTGTTTGCCCAGCCATGTCTAGGTGGTTCCTTTCCAAACCCCGCTGTGAGGATACCATCGTGCCCAGCTGTCCCACGATATACTCATTTGAGATATTAGATAATTAGATGTTGTGCAAGGTACTTCTCGTAAATTTGTTAAAACAGTTTGCACACTCTTTCGAAAGTCGATGGTAGAACAGGGAGCAGCCGAATTTAGTACATATGTTGATGATGTGATAGCGTCAAGGGGTCCATCAGGAAATGTATGACATTATCGTCAACTAAAGCTTAGAGCAAGACAGCATCTATAATACACAGGAACTATAAGTCTTCTGTGTTTTACGGTACATTTAATTGTGCATCATTCTACCTGGTAACCATACTGATGGCATTTGATTTCGTATTTTTACGTCTGTCTCAATCTATTGTTGATACCCACACGTATGACTAAACTTAAGACTGCCGTTTAGGTTCACATCCCAACGCTAACTAACCACTGACAGTCATATTGGTTACTTATAATTCTACGTGCGATTTTCCAAACTAGAGGAATATGGCTGTTATTCTTTCATTCAATCCAAACTCATGCACCTACCTAATGTTATGATTCATGAGGGTTATTGTTTCTTCATGCAGTTTGTGGTAGTCATACACAGGTGTGAACAAATGCCCGTTCACAACACTGCGGTACTGTAACTTAAACCAGAGACCTTTGTTATGTCAAATGGTACGTTGAATGACTAAGTGGAAGCCATTTAGAAACATTTAAAAGCACCACACTTCAGCCTGACAGACTGTTGGCATTTTCACTCACGTAACACCACTATATGCTGGCTCGATGTCTAAATGGGAATCGCCTAAAGTACAAATCCCGCTGACATCTGCTCGTGTCTCGATACATTCCCACTTAACAGATGGATCTTATTACATTTCTTCGCGTGTGACACCGTGACTTATTGCGGGTTGCAATATGAGGTCAATTTATCCCATCTCGCGTGTCTCTATACGCCCCATTGTACTGCTGCTGCCTTTAGGTAAACGCACTGAGATTCAAACAAGTCATCAAGGTTGCTTCCGGCACAGCGGCAATACGTTGTGACATCCAAATCGTAATGCTTGGGCACAGGTAGTATTGTAGACACTGGTGAATTGGTCGAGATATGCTAGCGGCCAGAACGAGTGACCAGGGGGAAATAAATAGTAACACATGACGGACTGATTGGTGGTTATACCTCCCGGTTGATTCTCGCTCACCTCGGACAAGAGACGATTGTAACGGGCTCTGATCTAACCTTACGACACGGATAGCCTGAAGTGGACATAATCGCAACATTGCCCTGCTAATTTGAAAAGTTGCATATTCCATCTATGTCATTTTCTTTTGTGTCATCTATATTCTATATCCCACAAGTAAGTCGCGTTTGGGTACATTTTCATTCTA